CTTGCATCATCTTTTTCTGAGCTTTTAAACACTATTTTTTAGAGCTTTTTCAATGGCTAAAATCATGTTTTGATGTCCAAATTTGGAGGGGTTAGCCTCCCCTCCTTGTGTCTTACTTACTAGCCTAGCTTGTGCTGTGTTTTAGCATATTAATCTAGCTATTTTTAGTTTAATTCCAGCATGTTTTAGGACTGCATTGGACCTATTTTAGCACTGTTTTGGGCTATTATTTGCATTTGAGCTTTGTTTTGCATGCTTATAGTGTAATAGTCCTCATGAGTTTGGTGTTCTAGGCCTTAGACACCATCTTGTTTGAGTTGATTGCATTTATTTGTGGCTTTCTATACATGTGATCACACTTAATCATCTCTGCAACCTCCCTCCTTTCTTGGTTTTTGTTTTGCTTTGAGAGTTGTTTCAAGCCTCTTGTTCTTTTAAGTATGAGATTGAGGTTGTCATGCTTAATAGTTTAATCCCTTTTAGGGATTCATTATCAACGGCATGACATCTCTTTCATGTCTTAAGTTAACTCTTGGTTTGGTACTTCACTCTATTAGAGGACTTAAACTCACCTTTGGACTCAATTTATTAAAGAATGGATGGTAATCTAAAATGGAGTAATAAAATTGAGGCTAAAAAATGGTGAAAGATAATAATTTGTTTGTGTTCAATCGAACATTAATTAAACACATGGAAGCTTGAACTATTTCATACTCATTAGTGATGAAATGATTCAAGGTTCCAAGATTACCACTTCCCTTGATCATTCATGATAGAGAGGTGGTTTTTAGAGTCTCATTTTGTTGCATTTATTAAACTTGCACACTTTGATTCACAAGTCATCATGCAATGAAATTGCTTGAGTTGGTGGTTTGTGGCTTAAGTTCACTACTCCTTTGATTTGTTCATGAAAATGAGGGGTGAGTTGTGCAAACAAACTCTTGAAATACCATGTGCATGCTCTGTTTGCTCTCTGTTGCAGCAAGGTGAATTGGGCAGCAATGGTCGGCAAGCCAATTTTCATAGCTGGTAGGCCACCTTTGATGGCCGGCCGGCTATCACTGGTGGCCAGCAGGCCTCATCACTGGCTGGCCGGTCACTGATGCAAAATTCAACAGTTGTAAGGCAGAGCAAAGTTATTCTGGAAGTAGACAACAGTGTATGTGTTCTCTAACCAACAGAGGCTCTCCGAAAGCAAAATAGTGAACTTTTCAGGTAGAAACCGAGCATGCGCATGAACATCCCTCACTTTTCGAGGAGGAGTAGTTAGTTTAATGCTTAACTGTTTAGCTTACTTACTTCTTTTAATTGCAATTGTGTTGTAATTATTTAATTTGTTAAAGTAGTTAACTAGTTATGATGTTGTAATCATTAGTTAACTAGAATAGTTAGTTAATTCATAAATTGTTGTAATAATTAGTTAAGTAGCTTAGCTAGTTTATTCATTTTGTTTTGTAATAGTTAATTAATTAATTTAGCTTACCTTAGTTAGCTAGTTAATTTATTCGGACTCTCCTTCGTGAGAGCGCAATATTGTAATAACGTGTATGTCCTTGAACCCACGTCTTTCTCCTTTTTATTTACTAGCTTATGATGGTTAGTTTAGGGATATCATGTTTTGTTTAGCATTCTCATATTTGCATCCACTTGTATTGCATGCACCGAGACTCGGTTCATCATTCTAACTCACATTGTTAGTTTAAACTCTTCTTTAAATACGTACTTAGACCGCATGCTATTTAATTGATTCATAGGCCATGTTAAGTAGCCAAGCCTATTTAGATTGCATATTGTATGTGTTGGATTGCATTAGTCATATCGTATAGTTAGGAATCATACATTTTTCCTAACTCTTTTGTTTATTTTGGCTTGGAGTACTAGGTGAGCCTTTACTCGTTTTAGCATATCGCATGTTGATGTTGCCATGTCTAGCATGCTTGCCATGAGGCTAAGGGCTTAAATGCTAAATTGTTTTGAATGTCTATGGATGAAGACTAATTGCTTGAATTGGAATAATTTGAGTAATATTCATATGTGATCACTTTTTCAAGTGATACATATTTCGAAACAATTTTCAAAACAAACATGAATCAAGTGTTCCAATTCTTGCAAAGTTAGTCTATACTTGTGTGTGCACATCACATAGTAAAGCTAGCTTAAAAAATCAGAACAAGAGCATATAATGTACATTCATGATTAGTAGAGGTCGATCTTTGATTGGGAGAGCGGGGCTACTTAATTCATTCATGACATTCCCCTCTTGTACCTAAGTTCTCGAGCCAAGACAATCTTGGTGATGACGGACACGTGGCCTTTGGCATGAGTCATGGGTTTCCTAAATTTCCTCAAATCAAAATATTTAGGTGGCGACTCTATATCTGGTAAAACAATCCATTTTTAGCAATTTGATTCAAAATCGATTTTTCAAAAGATTTGTCAGATTTGGACTCTTTGGTAATTATCTATTTCACATTGCACTTGTGAGATCAGATTTAGAACCGCGGGAGTCCGATACTGTAAGGCTTATTTCTACTTCCGAAATAGGGTGCAAAAAAGTTGACACGCCTCTTGCATGAGAGATCGGTGGTTAAGATCTGTTCATTTAAAAAATATATTTTATTTATATCTTACATGTAAGATAACTTAAATTTGAATTTAGAATGAACAAATCTCAGTCTTCCATCTCCTATGCGGACAACGTGTCCAATCTTAGCTATCCCCGTAAGGAGCCCCAAAGAGAGGATCCTGACTCCAACCACTTCCCTTTTACCACTACCACCCTCATCAACCCACCATAGCATCTGCCTCTTACCTTCCCCTCATTCTCCCGTCCTCTCCTCCTTCCATTTATGAATTATTCCAAAATTTTGTAATTTTTGTTTCTTTATATTTAAAAAATATATATTTTAGGAAACAAAAGTTGATGTTTTTGACAAATATTAAAAAATTAGTAATTATTATTGAGAAAATTCTAGTGCTAAAATTTTAGTATTTTAAATTTTTCTAACACAAAATACACGTAAAAATGGTAAATATATCAAGAATTGAGAAAATTATTCAATAATCTTGGAACACCACATGACCGTACTCCAATTCAATCACCAATTATTTAGCCCCATGTTTTTCCCACATCCCCAACATAAATCGTGGGCCCCTACCCTTCTCTACCAATCAAAATCTTATAGAGTACTACGTGTTCATACTCCAAAAAATAATCACTCCAGGAATTGCCTTTGTTACTGCATGTTTTGACTTGCCAAACAGGAATTATCATGATCATGTCATTGTAACTAACAAGTATCAAGATTTGAACATCCGTCAGAAAACAATTCAGGAGTTAAACTTTTCACCAAATTTTTCATAAATTTACACTAACCATTTTGAATTGGATGAACGTTGTCCCTGTTGGCGTAACCTAGAATTTTCTTTAGTCGATGTACAGTTTCCAAGAGGAATAAACAAACATTTGGTTTGTTTTTAGACGCCTAAATTTCTTAATAAAATTTGATTTTGTTTTTATCTATTGGGATCAATTTGTAAAAGTTTAAAAAATAATTTATTTTATTTAGGCCTACTAGGTTCAATTTGTAAATACTTATAATTTTTTACACATACTCTATCAAAAATTTGAAGTTCAATGACACCACTGTTCAAAGCATAGCTCCGCCACTGGTTGACACTATAGTCACTTGTCATATATGATGGGATATTCATTTTATCTCACAAATAATATTTTATTCGAAAGTCAAATTAATTATTGAAGAATAATTTTAAAATAAAATGAAAGAATTTCATTTGTTTATGGAGGATAAAATCACCTTAATCTAGATAAAAAATTTAATAATAAAATTAATATAATAAAAAAGAGAGTGGTCAAATTTTGTGATATAAGTAAATTGCCGTTTGCTCAAAAAACAACGTGCATAAATGGCTTGCTAAATTGACATTTGCTAAAAAAATAACGTGCATACATGTCTAGCTAGATGCACTGTAGGGAATAAATTTGGCGGGAAAACGAGATTAAGAGACGTTATGTTCGTGATATTCTAAAGTTTCAAACTTTCTTTCTTTAGATAAGGCATACAGTGATTGTAATACTTTTTTAAGTCATTGACTGTAATACTTTCCTTTTTCTTTTTTTTTTCTTTTTTGAGGAAGTGCACAAGTTGAATTATGTTGAAAATTTATAAAATTTTAAACCCCCAATCCGCGCAATCCACATCCGCCGGATTGGCGGACGGATGCGGATTGATTTTCTTCAATTCGTCAATCTGGCGGACGGATGGCGGATTGGAAGTTCCGTGGCCGCAACCGACCCGCGCCCACCCCTACTTTTCACCAAATTTTTCATAAATTTACACTAACCATTTTGAATTGGATGAACGTTGTCCCTGTTGGCGTAACCAGGAATTTTCTTTAGTCGATGTACAGTTTCCAAGAGGAATAAACAAACATTTGGTTTGTTTTTAGAAGCCTAAATTTCTTAATAAAATTTGATTTTGTTTTTATCTATTAGGGTCAATTTGTAAAAGTTTAAAAAATAATTTATTTTATTTAGGCCTATTAGGTTCAATTTGTAAATACTTATAATTTTTTACACATACTCTATCAAAAATTTGAAGTTCAGTGACACCATTATTCAAAGCATATCTTCGCCGCTGGTTGACGCTATAGTCACTTGTCATATATGATGGGATATTCATTTTATCTCACAAATAATATTTTATTCGGGAGTCAAATTAATTATTGAAGAATAATTTTAAAATAAAATGAAAGAATTTCATTTGTTTATAGAGGATAAAATCACATTAATCTAGATAAAAAATTTAATAATAAAATTAATATAATAAAAAAAAGAGTGGTCAAATTTTGTGATATAGTAAATTGCCATTTGCTCAAAAAACAACGTGCATACATGTCTTGCTAAATTGACATTTGCTAAAAAAATAACGTGCATACATGTCTCGCTAGATGCACTGTAGGGAATAAATTTGGCGGGAAAACGGGATTAAGAGACGTTATGTTAGTTAAGAGAGAGAGAGTCAGTTAGGGCTGCGTTTGGCAATCCCTAATTGAAATTTGAACGGGGTGGCTTCACACTTCTCAAATCCCTCTCTCTCTCGCTCTCTCGTCAATGACATGAAACTCAATCTCTCTCTCTATATATCGACAAATATATATGTATGTATATATTTTCTCTCTCATCTCTCTATATTTGGGGCGGAGGAGTTGTTTTCAGTCCCCGCTGGATCCAGGCAAGGTTGTATAAATTTAGAGTATAATTTGGTGATATAAATCTCTCTCTCTCTTAGTCCGACATTTTTGTCTGCTAATCTCTCTCTTCCCCCTCCCCCCCCCCCTTCTCTCTGGGGCTTTCAGGAAACCACATTATCATTCATTCCGGTAAATTTTTTTTGTGGTCATTGCTTACAGTTGTTGAATATTTTTTATTTGCACTGTAATTGTCTTGTTTCGTTATCCACAATGATGTTAAATTGTTACAATCTGAATTTTTATCTGTTGTTCCTTTCTCTAATTTGTTGTTGGTGTTGATAGATGATTTTTTTTTTCTTTTTTTTTGGGGGGGGGGGGGGGGGGGATTTTGGTTTATGAAATTCAGATTTATTTTTAAAAGGGAATTACATATGAATGCACAAAATAGGAAAAGAGTATTCAACTTGGAGTTGGAGATATTATTTTGATCAAATTTTTGCTTTTTGATCCTTTAATTTGGATGGTAATCATTATTTAAGATTAGCTCATTTGCATGGGTTGATGGGGTTTGGGTTTTGAAGCTCAATTGATATTGGCATGAACATTGTGAATTGTTATTTGCTTTGAAGCATCCATTGCTTATTTTTTTAATTTTTTTTTTTTATTGGTCATATGTGTAGGCATTTGGCACGGGTGTATGCTTTGGCATCTCGGTATGGCTACTTAATCCATCTGCACTTTTTCTGTCTCGCGTGAGCAAACTTTGTGAATTGCAACCACGAGTGACAACATGTCTGGACCTCTTGAGCAACCTATTAAGCCAGGTACTTTCTATGATAATTTTTTTTTTCTTTCTGTATTTATATATGTGCTTTAATCTTTTCAAGACTTTCAACTTTAAATGAGATTTATTGGATCTCTTGGCATATGCTTGATTACTGCTATTTAACTGTGATTAAAGCACCGTAATTATGACTAAGAAGACTGTACTTCAATAGCTTTTTCCTAAGCATGGAAACAAATATATGACACGACATAGACACATTCAAATGACAATTTTTAAAATATGTAGGACACGTGCGTGGGACATACACAAAATATGTGGTTTATATTTATTGTATGTTATATATATATGAAAAATATTTCAAAGTTAATAAAAATATATAATATGACACAAATTTCTGAAGTTTAAACTAGGATGGATTAATAGGTATAAACCCATATTGTTCTTGTTTATTATTAGATCCTAAGAATTTTGTTCAAATTTGTAATATGTTTCATATCATATGTATATAAGCGATGGATATGTGTGTCCCACAAGTGTTCGAGATAAAAAAAAAATTCTAAAAAATAATAGCACTTGGCGTGTCTAACACAAGTCGAAAGTGTCCGACATGTGTTGGACAGGACGTGCCACCTTCTTGAAGTATTTGTGCTTCTTAGTTCTTCAGTAAATTAATTTTAATTGGAAGAATCAAATAAATAAACCAAGTGGTTCATGCATAAGGTGTGTTGCCATAAGATATGCATTTCTTATTTACTTTGATTGTATATGTATCTAAGCGATGGATATGTGTGTCCCACAAGTGTTCGAGATAAAAAAAAAATTCTAAAAAATAATAGCACTTGGCGTGTCTAACACAAGTCGGAAGTGTCCGACATGTGTTGGACAGGACGTGCCACCTTCTTGAAGTATTTGTGCTTCTTAGTTCTTCAGTAAATTAATTTTAATTGGAAGAATCAAATAAATAAACCAAGTGGTTCATGCATAAGGTGTGTTGCCATAAGATATGCATTTCTTATTTACTTTGATTGTGAAAATAGACACCCTGTCATTAATCATGCTCCAGTAAAGAGAACAGATGGACAGTTTAAAAAGTCTGATGAAAGAAACTTGTGATGTGATCAATGAATCCATCATTTTAAAATGCTTTTCATACTCTTATGTCCAAGAAAAGCAATAGATTATAGAATATATGACAAAGTAAACATTAAAACATAGCCTTGAAAATGTTATGCTGTAGAAAATCAAAACATATTGTTGGTTTCCATGATTGACTTTTTAATTGGTTGGTTTAGTTGAGCCTTCTGGTTGAGACTGTCTTGATTGCTAAAAATTTCTATTTTCTAGGAATAGTGCATATATTTAGTTTTTACTTTGGACATATGCAGAAATAGCATTAGCAACTAGAATTTTTTCAGTTCGGTTATTTATTATTGTGTGTCATGAGTTTCCTCTTTTCTACATGATTTGTCCACAGGTCTCGAAAAATCTGACATTGAAAACTTGGAGGATGAGAGAAAGACAAGGATTGGGTCTTTCAAGAAGAAGGCGATTAATGCCTCAACCAAGTTGAGGCATTCTTTGAACAAAAAGGGTAGGAGAAATAGTAGAGTTATGTCTGTTTCATTTGAAGATGAGCATGATGCAGAGGAACTACAGGCAGTGGATGCATTTCGTCAAACTCTTATCTTGGAAGAATTTCTACCTGCAAAACACGATGATTATCACATGATGCTAAGGTTTCTTCCTTTTCCTTGTTCCATAGTCAATGATTTGGAATTGCATGTGCTGTTATTTCATGTTTATAACTTTATAAATGTAAATTGGGTTGTAAGAAACATTGGGGATAAGCCTTTAGTTTTACTAAATTTGAATAAGTTTCAACTGTGGGAGGCGGTGCCACTTGCTCTGCAAGATGGCGGAATGACATGATAGTGAATTGTTGCTAGCTCGTGTTTGGGTTTTAGTTCTGATTGGGGTAACAGAATGCTAATAGCTTTCCTTCCTCTTGTGAGATCGTATTTGCTAAAAGCAAAAAAATTCAAGCCATATATAAACTAAAGTATATTGGCATCAATACCAGGTTCTTTTATGCTTGATTTGTTGTTAAATTTGAACAGGGAGTTTCATTTCAACACTTTTGATGCATTAAAATTTAGCCTTTTGGTCTATTTGCTTCCCTTTTCAAAAAATAGTGTTTGTGCATAACCTTTTTTTAACACTTTTAGTGGCTGACCTCACTGGTGTAGCACTCAATATTGTATAAAATGGTTTCTGAATTTTAGAGAAAGACATTGTTTTGATGCTCTGCATGCATATGTATACTGGAAATATTGGAGACATTAAAATGACAGTAATATTTCTTAATGACAAAATGAAAGCATAATATTCTTATATGAATAGCATTCACTTTGTAATGCAATCTCAAAAATTTTGGGGAGGTCTTTGTGAAGATAGCATAGCTTTATGCCTTTGGTTAATTTTTTGCCCTCCAACTGATCTTGGGATGATTCAAGATCAATAATTAGATTGTCAACTTGTTGTATGGTGATCAGATTTTTGAAGGCCAGGAAATTTGATATCGAGAAAACAAAGCAAATGTGGGCTGATATGCTCCAGTGGAGAAAAAATTTCGGTGCTGACACAATTGTGGAGGTATTTTGGTTTGGAATGCGGCCATATAGCCAAACATATGGGCAGTTGTCTCTTATTTTTGCCTATTCATTTCTTTGTTCAGGATTTTGAGTTCAAGGAAAGAGAGAAGGTCCTTGAACACTATCCACAGGGACATCATGGGATTGATAAGGATGGACGACCTGTTTATATTGAAAGACTTGGCAAAGTTGATCCAAATAAGCTTCTGCAAGCCACAACATTGGACCGCTACTTGAAATACCATGTGCAGGAGTTTGAGAGGACCTTCAATGTCAAGTTCCCAGCCTGTTCAATTGCAGCAAAAAAGAATATTGATCAGAGCACAACTATCCTGGATGTTCAAGGAGTGGTATGTGGGGATCCTAACAGATGCTTTGAATAAAAAACCACCCACCCATTTTTCACTATAAGGGGCCTTCAACTGAAACATGATTGAGACTGCCCACTTTATATTTTCTGAAAGGAAAAAAACAACCTGCTAATCGTGCATCAGAGCTGAGCTACCACAAATCTCAAAATGCTAAAACCAGATTTAAGAATGGTGTAGCTACTGAATTATGGGTGCATTCATGTATAAACTGTTGTGTACTATACATAATTATTATATTATAGGGTATTTTCATAAGAAAAAGCAAAATTGGTAGCTCAAATATCATTTGTTAAAAGAAAAAAAATGGCATCCTTAACTTACATTGATTGATGCCTTAGGGACTGAAACATTTCAGCAAAATTGCGAGGGAGCTCATTCAGAGCATTCAAAAGATTGATAGTGACAATTATCCCGAGGTACTCGTTTTATCTGTCAGCGTGATTTAACACAACAAACTTCTTTGGTTTGCCACCTTGTTGTGAATAATGGCCTTTTGCTTCGAGCTCTCATTTGAATACTTCTTTCTTTGTAGACCCTGTGCCGTATGTACATTATTAATGCAGGTTCTGGATTTAGGCTCCTATGGAACACCGTTAAAACATTCCTGGATCCCAAGACCACTGCAAAAATTCAAGTAAGCCTTTTTCATTGATTTACCGCAGACTAGGGCTGTTAATTGAGTAGTTTTCTTAGCCCATCATTGGTTTTTTCTTGTACCAGGTTCTGGGCAACAAATATCAGAGCAAATTGCTTGAAGTAATTGATGCCAGGTAACTATTTTGTTGATTGGTTTGACATTGAATTGATTGTGATTTGTCAATAGGCCTTACAGTTTATGACAACAATCAGTGAGCTTCTTGAATAACATTATTTGCTAATTGTAACAAAACATGACATTGGCTTCTAAAATTTCGGTATGGTCCTCACAGCAACATTTTCTTCCCTGATCTGTATCAGTGAGCTACCAGACTTTTTGGGTGGTACATGTACTTGTGCAGACAAAGATGGATGCATGCTTTCTGATAAAGGCCCATGGAATGACCCTGATATATTGAAGGTGTCACCTCTTCTTTCTGTTGTAAATTTTTTTGTTCAAGTTGGCACTTCATGGTTAAGCCATTTTTTTATCAAAGCTGCCTAAGTTTAATTGTTAATTTTTTGAATTAGATGGTTCACAATGGTGAAGCCAAATGCTCAACTAAAATTTTGATTCCAGCCATTGAGAAGACAATTTCTGAGGATGAGAATGCAAACTTAAAGGTATCCAGTCCTAATTCGGATATGAATCTGTCAATTCCTTTTTCATTGATTTTTAATCTTCTTATCAACTGCCCCTAATTGGACTTGGTCTTTTAACTTTCCAAACTGGAAAGGCATTTCATTCTGCATAATTTTGAATATTGTTAAACTTTTATCATACCATAGATTGTGAAGAAATGTGTCTCTTTCAACTCGGAAGCGGTTTCAGATGTGGATGATATGCGATCTCACCATCCCAGGCTGCAAAGACAGTATTCCGAACATCCACAACTCTCTCCTGTTCGGGAAGAAGTAAGTTATTTAGGCTCCCATCATGTATAAATGACAAAGTGCCACATCAAATTCATAAGAAAGTTATATAGGTATCGTTTTGTCTACAGGCTCCTACCTATGAGTATGATGACTTTGTTCCAATGGTTGACAAGGCTGTGGATGCAACTTGGCCTAAAGCTGTACAAAGTGACAAATTCACCTTTTCTAAAGGTACATAATTTATTCCTAACTATGCTAATTATATGAATATTGTTAGGAGATGATGTCATCAACTCTCCAATTCTATGTAATTTGTATTCTAAAATGTTTGTGCATGAACTACTTGTGAAGATTTAAGCTAAAAATATGGGTTCCATATGGACAAGTGAAATTAACAAGTATTATGCATTTACTTATTGTTTTACTTATAATCAACTGTCCAATTCTATGTAATCCTTATTCTCTAGTGTTTGTTCTTGAACCACATATGAATATTTAAGTTAAAAATTTGGAATTCCTTATGGACCAGTGAAGTCAAGGACTATGCATTTGGTTATTGTTTACTCATCAAGGTTTCACTTTGTTGAGTCCTGAGTTTAAATAAGTTAAATCTTTTGTGAAATTTTCTGTGAAAAATCCAGAGTACAATAAGAATATATATGAAGTGTACGTATATCCAATGCATATTTTCTCTTTTCCTAATTCCGCATATATTGTTACCCATGCACATTAATAACCCGTGTTTTTGTTCTTTTTTTTTTTTAATTTTTCTGAAGGCACAGATTGTTTCCCTCAGCATAATGCTTGCCAACCTCCTAAAGGAATAAGCAATCAAATTTTCTCAGGGGTCCTGACCTTTGTAATGGGCATAGTCACTATGGTTCGCTTGACTCGCAACATGCCAAGAAAACTTACTAATGACATCCTCTATTCTAATTCCATGAGGCCACCCCACCAGTTACCCGCATCCACCATCTCTGGTACTGAATATTTATCAATGATGAAGCTCTTGGATGAATTGGAGGAGAAGGTAGTTGTTCTCTGCAGCAAACCGGCAGTTATGCCACCTGAGAAGGAGGAACTGCTGAATGCTGCTCTAAGTCGTGTTGATGCCTTGGAGCAAGAGCTTTCGGCAACCAAGAAGGTATCCTAATCCTATCTAGTTCTCTTGAATTCATTGTAGTGATTAGAATTGGAAAAGAAAAGAAAAAAAAAAAGAAAGTACAAATTGTGGGACTTAGAATGCTCTGTTCATTATTATAAATATTATAAAAAAAAACATACGATCGCCCGACTACTTTGTGGAAAATTAACAAAATGCAACTAGACTAACATTCAAAGAAGTATATAACCTTAGTTCTATGAAGTATATTGGGTGTGATGTATTTTGGATAATCAACCAAATGCAACTGGACTAACATTCATAGAAGTATATAGTTCAAGCTAATTGTGGTTCTTGCGCAGGCTCTCGAGGATGCCATTGTTCGACAGGAGGAGATTTTAGCCTACATTGAGAAGAGGAAGAAGAGGAAAAGGAGGTTTTTCGGTTTCTAATTGCAAACTAGTAACAAACAGAGGTTGCAGAACCTATTCTGTAACATAATAGTAATGTAATTGTGATATATTTATTATGTTGAAACTGGTTGCAAGAGTGAGATTTTCAGCCCCACAAGTTGATGTTTGTTGTGGATCGGATTTCTCTTTAGCGGATCCAGATTTTTCAGATAGGATTCTCGGATAGGAAGTCTGATCCATTGATAGGACTATGAAGTTCTCAAATCAAACTTCTTGCATATTTGATATTCTTTTTACAGCTGTGTGCATATTCTGAATAAAATTTGACAAGGCTGCGAGTTCTCTTCTCAAACTTTGTACTATGATTTATTCCTTTTTAAGTTTTTACAAATAATAATAATAGTCAATACAAATGGCCAACAAAATATCTTCTTGATTTTTTTATTTTTTTTTAATTTGGCTCTCCCTAACACTGAATTTGTTTGGATCGAAAATTTTCTATGAAAAGAGTTTTTTGCATTTTCTGACTTTTGATACAACAAAAACAAAAATCAATGGAAAATATTTTTCGTGGTCAACAAGGAAACAATACTATTTGGAGGGAAAATATTATTTACATTTTTAAAAAGTACAAAACATTTTTTAAACTAAAATGTTATTAATGCGAACTCACTATCAATAATATAACAATTATATATTATTAGTATATTATTTTCATGGACGCAACTAAACATAGAAAATGTTCTCTGAAATTTATTTTTGAAAATTGCAGATTACAATTAACTGCATGACATTTTATTGTAGCATCCCAGGAATATAGGTACCATTAAAGCAAAGTACAAAAATCATACAAGTTTTCACAACCTATCGTATTTTAAAGATATTCCTTAGCATATGGAGATCTAAACTTTCCTGAATTCAGTAAACAAAATTAAACGCAGAGAGAGAGAGAGAGAGAGAGATGCCTTGGGAGGTCTCACGAACAAAATCGTAAATTCTTAGCAGATTCTAGAGGATGCCTAATCTGTTTCTCAGACAATGAAATGAGATCTCACAGCAATGAAAATTTGAAAAGTAGGACAATCCAATCAATTATGGAAACAGGGATTCAAATTTGCAACCAAGTAGATAACAAAAACCTCTTCGCTCACAAACTTTCGTTCAAACATTTCAGGACATTTTTTTTGTTGAAAAAAACAAAACAATAAACATATATTCGGAACATACAGAGAAAATACAATAATTCCATACACAGTTTCTCACGACAATGGTACGTACTTTCATCTCAGTAGACAGACATATCTTGCTTACGGTGACAGATCCTCTGCAAAGTAAATGTGGTTATATTATACGGTAGACATAGAGTGCTGACATTCTTAAAAAGCCAAAAATGTGTGTCCCATAGCCCTTCCTTTACATCCAACATCTTTTACCAGCAAGACTTCTTTTTCTGCTCAACATGCATTGAGCAACTCATATCAGCCATTAACTAAATTAAGATTTAACAGGAGTTTAAGCACACATACATATGTATATACTAGACAAAGGGCACACCTATAAAAATCAACCAGTTGCCAAAAAAAAAAAACTGAAAAGTGATCAAAATTTGAAATTCAAAATCAAAATCAAAATCTGAGGTAGTCATACAGGGTAATTTGGGAATATAAAAGTGTGACAGTTCACATCAACAGTATAGATATTTGTGTACTCACCCGAAACTTAGCTTCTTCTTGACTGTCAATGTAAGCAAGGAGAATACTTTTTGTCTATTTGTACTACAATTATTATAATCAAGTTGGTGGCAACAAGCCAACAATATGGTGGTGTAATTACAAAATGATGAGAGGTTTAGAATCGTTATCAAATGGTTTACAACTGAAAAAGTTTTTAAAAAAAAAAATCAAAAATTGGTATTTTTTAAGAGATGTGAAAGTTATTTAAAAGAGACTCAATCTATATATTATATAAGAAAAAATGGGTTTCTAATGAGAAATCTCCTGAAAATTTCAAACTTTGACTATAAAATTATTGATTTTTCAATTTATAAAATAGATTAAAAAAAATTATTGGTTGATTTATTTATTTATTTAATTATTTTAGAAATAATAATTATCCCTTAATTTATGGATTTCAAATGGAAAAATAACAAAAATATTTCATAATCTCTCCATCATAATCCCTCTCACCTTAATTTATAGATTTCAAATGAAAAGATAACAAAAATATTTCATAATCTCTCCATCCTAATCTCTCTCACCGATTTTCAAAAGAAAATATTAAAACTTGCCTTCCTTCTCTCTCTCCCAAAAAATCAAAGAATATTTTTCATGAGTTGTGGGTATCTATCTATACATTATATATTATATTATAACATACAAAAAAAATTAAATTAAATTAGATATACAAACAGATAAAATTAATAAATTTGATTTTTATTTACTCAGGTAAAATCTTTCTTTTACCTCTCAATATCCAATTTTAAAAATATTTAAAATATATCTAAACAAATCTAATTTAAAAATATCTGCCACATCATACTTTAAATCAATAAAACTCGCATGTTTATCACATATCTAACTCACATCATAATTTACGTAAATTATAATAATTAAAAAAAATAGAAACCACAAATAAATTAAATTTTTAAAAAAAATAGAAACCCACAACTCCATCTTAAATAAATTGAAAAAAACAAAACAAAAAGAAACCACACAAAAATAAAGAAGATATGAATCTAAAAAAGATATAGCAATATCTAAATTTGAATTATGATTTAATAATATAATTATCTATTTTTTTTTTTATATATCTATCAAAAAGTTTAAATCACTTAATGTGACAAATTAATCAATTTTTAAGTTTTATCTATCTATATATAGTGGGTGTTTGGGAATTGGCTATTTTAGAGGTTTTTTTGACTTTTTGACTATTTTAATAGGTTATTTTAGTTTTTGTATTTGAGAAGTTAGATTGAATTTTTATTTGAGTTGTTGTATTAAAAAATGTGTTTGAAATGATGTTTAGATAAAAAATAATTAAATTATTCTCCAAAAGTCGTGCATGACGTGATGATGAAGCTGTGCCTGACCTAGATTATGATTTTGTTGGGATATGAAATGACTAAAGTGCCTCCTTGGGTTGGAATGCTAAGTTGGGTTAGTCAAAAAGTAAAAGGGCAAAATTGTAATTTCAAATATACATTGCACAGCAAGTCGTTAGTTTCTGATTAAAAATAAATAAAAACTCAACTATAGTACAACTTTTTAACTATTTGTTTAAAATGAGGCTAAAAGAGCCTTTTAGCCTCTTCCCAAACACCGCCATATTATATAAGCACAAAGGAATTTTTAATGAGAAGTCTTGTAAGAATTTCAAACTCTCATTCTAAAATTATTGATTTTTCAATTTACAAAATAGATTAAAAAATAGATTTTTATTGATAAATCTCATTTAGAAGTGTTCTAATCCAAAAAGTCTATGAAGGAATTTTTTAACCCACTTAGTCCCATGTATTTATATTTTTATTCCATAAAATCTTTTTTCTTGATTTACATTATTTTCTTAGACTCTTATGTCCTTATATTTAATATTGATTTTAATGTTAGGGGGAGGAGAGAGAAGGGAAAGTATACATGTTATTATTTTATATTATTATATAATGTGAATATATTTTTAATTGACAACACATAAAAATAATGTGAACATTCTCTCTCATTTGATGTGAATATATTTTTAATTGATAACACATTAAAAATAATGTGAACATTCTGTCCCATCTGATGTGAACGCTCACAACACCTTTCAGAAAAATTTTCTCTCATCTAATGTAGTGATGTGAACGTTCACAACATGTAAAAATTCTTATTTTTAATTGACAACACTTTAAAAATAACGTTTATTATATTTTTAATTGACAATACATTTTTATTCACAACATGCAGTGATGTGAACGTTCATCTAATGTAGTGATGTTAACGTTCACACTCGTATGTTTTAGTATGAATATTCACATCATACAATTAACAACACAATGACAAAAATTCATTTCAAATTAATGTGAATATAATGATGTGAATATTCACATCATGTAATTGATAACACAATGACAAAAATTCATTTCAAATTAATAGGAATATAATGACAGTCAACATCCTGATGCATGAGAACTACTAAAACATAATGACAATCAACATTAATAGGGGACAAGAGAGATTAAAGGTGTTTTGGTCTTCTTACCTCAAATATGATCTAATGGAATAATCAAAAAGAATATAGGTAGGATGGAATAAAACTCTCAGAAAGAGGATTTATCAAAAAAACTCTCAAAAAACTTTAAAAAAAACTATTGGATGATTTATTTATCTAATTATTTTAGAAATAATAATTATTCCTTAATTTATGAATTTTAAATAGAAAGATAACAAAAATATTTCATATATCTTCATCTTAATCTCTCTCACCAATTTGCAAAAGAAAGTATTAAAATCTACTTTCATTCTCACTCCCAAAGAAATCATGTAATATTTTACATAAAGATCGTGATATCTATCCATATCTTATATATTATATTATAATATAATCAAAAAAAAATCAGATAGACAAACCGATAAAATTAATAAATTTAATTTTTATTTATTTAGTTAAAATCTTTCTTTTACCTCTCAATATTCAATTTAAAATTTTTAAAATCTTTAAAGTCTATCTAAACAAATCTACTTTGAAAATATCTCCCACCATCATACTTTAAATCTATAAAACTCACATGTCTATCACATATCTAACTCACATCATAATTTACCTAAATAATAATAATTAAAAACAAATAAAAATTATAGATAAATTAAATTTAAAAAAAAATAGAAACCCACAACACTATTTTAAATAAATTGAAAAAAAATAGAAAATACACAAAAATAAAGAATATAAGAATTTAGATATGAATCTCAAAAAATATGGCAATATCTAAATTTGAATTATGATTTAGTAATATAACTATCTATTTTTTTGATGTATATCGATCAAAATTTTAAATCACTTAATGGGATAAATTAATTAATTTTCAAGTCTTATTTAAAGAATAATTTGATTAGTCATCGTAACTTCTAGACTTCGTGGGAATCGGTAGAGGAGCTGACATATTGGGTTGAGCGAGATCTAAGTTGTTGGAAATAACATCCTACCACTCCATAAATTTATTTATTTATTTAGTTTTTTTTTCCTATGTGACTCTCTTTCTCTGCTATTAGTAATGATTTTGGTTTCAGTTTTAGTAAGATTTATGTATTTGTTTACAGATTTACATGGTGAAAAAGATTTATTGGTGATGATGGTTGCAATCGAAGTATCTATGTCCATTCTGTGTTAATAATATTGATCGGATTTTGTTTTCTTAAAAAATAAAAAAATAAAAAGGGATTCAAAATAATTGATGGAATCTAATAGTGGCACTCTTAGAAAGAAAAGAAAAAAAAAAAACTTTTAAGTTAACCTAGATAAAATCCAAATAAAATAAAAATAAATCATAGGCTATATAAATTGCATAAAAAAAATTAACAATGTTTCTTTTTCTCCATATGAGATCACCCAGCACATAATTATTGATATCATATTTAATAATTTCATTTGAGGTTATTATTATAATATAAAAATTAAAAAAAAACTAAAAAAATGAGAAATTCAAAATAATTGATGGAAGACTAATAGTAACACTCTTAGAAAAAAACTTTTAAGTTAACCTAGAAAAAATCAGAATAAAATATAAATAAATCATAGGTTTTATAAATTGCACTAAAAAAATTAACAATGTTTCTTTTTCTCCATATGAGATCACCCTGCACATTGAAACCCAATTTGGAAAGATAATTAAAAATTAAAAATCAATTTTTAACTCATTTTCAATTCAGTAGTGATTTAGACTCCCTCAAACTTTAACCCCCACCACCCCGCACACACGTGGCGGGTGGTGATTGGAGGAGGAGAAAAAAAAGAAAAAGAAAAAGAAAAGGTGACCAATCAAAAAAGAAAGGGAGCCAAAAGGGAGTGGGGGAAAGAGGATCCCAATCTTTATTCTTTTCAATTACATCACGTCTCATATTTTTTACATGATTTTTCAAAAGAGATTAATAAATAAATAAATAAATAAATAAATTTTTAACAATCTTCTCAGAACACCACCGAATAAAATGAATCAAATACATGTAGCAAATACCCATTCGCTATTTTCATTAATAAATGCAATTAAAACAAGCTAAAGGAGTTTTGTATTAACGTAAAATAATTGATTGCATGAATCATAGAATTGATTTTAGCATCCACATCTAGCACAAACAATACTAAAGCAATTTAAATCCATAAAATTAATCCTAATTTTTGAAATGAAGAAAAACTTTGAAATCAATCTGAACTTCTCCTCTTACAAATTTCATCCTAATCTGCAAATCAAAACATAATTCTTAAAACCATTTTCTCATTCATTTTTTTTTTCCCCTTCTAAACTCCGAATGTTTTGAATAATCTAAATCATTCTCTCATAAAACTAAATATTAGAAATGTATTCTCAAATATCAAATAAACAACATTAAATGTACAGAAACATAATTTATTCAGGCCTATTTTGAGAAGTGGGTTATAATCCACTTCTCAAATTATAATCCACTTCATCTCTCACAAAAAAACTATTTATAAGCAGCTTTTTACCAAAGAGTTGATTATAATCATCTTCCCAAAATAGTGTTCAATATATGTATAAGAACCTTCTAGATCTAGAATAAAACACATACTCAATGCTTTAAAAGCTATTAACACCTATCCTGTATTATCATTATAGTAGGATTGGACATGCACGCAATGAGCAATTTATAAAAACTGGAAAAAAAAATTTGTTCAATGGTTCTCCCTTGATTAATTTCTGAAGAAACAATTAAGATGCTATCATATGATGGCATGAAAAGAAGAACAGGGGAAGACGAGGAAGAAGGGAAGACGAGGAAGAGTTAACGAGCAGCAAAGGAGAGAAAAAGAGAAGAAGCACCTAGCAACATAAAGGAGGAGAAGAGATATAGATATGTATCTCGGATTGGGTCTAAGTTGAACTGCAACTGTTTAAATTAGGGGCTCTTTCAACAAAGACATACTTGGGTTTCTTCAATTTTCTTCAAATTAGGGGTCATGAAGTCTGATGTTCAAATGTTGCAATGTATATGAGATTACTTTGATCAAATAATGCATATACCTGTGGCAACTTCATCTAATTCACATGTTTGAAATAGATTCATCACAGTATTTTAACCACAAAACAATATGAGGTCACTACTTCTAATCAACGGTAGAGCGTGTTTAAATAAGAGTACACAATCTATAAAATCATGACGAAAGTGTTCTAGTTTTTACATAGCAAATAAAATTAATTTTTTTGTCATGTCCCTGCAGTGTTCATATTTTTATTTTTTTCTTTTGATTTTAAAATCCGCGTCCGTGTCCCTTGTTTTTAGACAACACCCATCATCAACCAGCATCAGCCTCATCACTGGAACCCGTAATCATAACCATTTGTTGTCATTCATGCTGTCGACAACCACAGTCCCTCACCGTTGGTTTCTAGCTAGAAACTTGTCATCTTCTTTGTGTCTTGTCTTGCCAGAAGTTTGTTGCCATCAATTGTCATCTCATCGTTCACACAACTAGCAGAGACCTCCAACAGAATTGCTCAAAATTGCATTGAACACATCTGAGGAAGGTGTAAAAGTATATTTGACCTGACCCATTATAGCCTGATCCACTAACCCAACCAATCAACCTGCAACCAAACTACTTGACTCACTCCAAACCAATAACCCACAGCTCAAATCCTGTAACCTTTTTCTAAAACCAAAACACAGATTAACTCAGCAGCCCATATCTAACATCATGCCTATCCAGTCCATTTAACTCATATTAGGCCCAAACATCAAAGGAAGTCCAACAAGCTAAAAACCTAACATGTGATCCATCCAACCAACCAAAACGGAACATCAATCCTAACCAGCCAGCAACCAGTGCAGAAACTAACCAACAAGTTTTTACCAGGAAAAGATTGGTCCACCAGACCTCCAAATCTCTACAGCCATATGATGAAACAAAGTCCAGTAAAATTTGCAAGCCTAGGATGTATCCTTATGCACACAAAAGCTTCACTGTAATAAGCACTTTCAAAGCCGATGTCGTTGTATCTGCTCAACCCATAAAAGTCTGCCGTTCCACCTCGTGCGCGACTTTGACACAGCTGGAGAAAAATGATGGGGAATGAAAAGCATAAGAATAAAGGATTTATTTATTTAGAAAATTGAATTTGTTTAGGATTATTTTGGGTTACCTTTGTCTTAGAACATCATAATCAGTAATCTTCGTGTTGGTCTTAGAACATCATAATCATTAAACTTCGTGTTCGTCTTAGAACATAATCATCAATCTTCTTGTTTATTAATTTAAAATAAATTTTTTGTTGATAGTACCACTGAGTAAAATATTTAGCAAATTTAAACAAACTTAAACAATAGCATGATCAAAATGAAAGACTCCATATATAAAGGGACACTTACCAATCAATCCTATTAATTAGACTTATTTATCTATAGGCCCTAACTGATAAATTTATAATTGTAAATTTATTCATAAAAACAAGAGAGACTGATAAATTTATCAATAAAACTTCATGGGTAATAAGTCCCAAAAGTAAAACCTATTGGTAATTTACCCTAAATATACTTAGAACAAATATTTCCCTATTCAACTATATATAAATGTCACAAATTCTATATGATCATACTGATTGACTTTACAGTACTGAAATCAATCTAAAGTCAGTATTTCTCTACACTAAGTATCCATGTAAATAAAAAGTAAAAAAACAAAAAACGAAGACAATATAGTATAAGAGTAAGATTGCTTACACTTCTTTTTCTGCTCCCTTGTAAATCTGGGCCTTGATATTTCAGTTCCACTATCTTTTGCATTTTGAATCCCATCGCCTCAGCCACTATGTTATAAAAGGGTTTTCAGAGCTCAATGTTTCCTAAATCCAATAAAATCAATCTGTTCACTAAAACAAAATTGATTGAGAAGAAGAGCAAATGCAAAAAGATCCCAACTCTCTAGTTTGGCAATATATAAATATCCAACGCCCTAATTAGAAAGAAAACTCATCTTCAACCGTTATTTGCCCTTTCCCAGTAATCCAAGAGAGGAAGAGGCAATATCTGAATCAAATGCTACTCCAGTCCCACTCAAAAACTGAACCCTTTTTCCCCATTAAATTACTACATCCTTAATTTTTATCCTTCTCCAAATTTGGCATATAGTTCTCTTCTTCCACTTCCAATTACATTGGGCCATAACCCAAATTCTCCCACTTGAAGGGGTTAACTAAGTTAACGTTTGGGTGGCCTCGCATAAACAGGCAGACACATACACAAACAGCAGCAATGGCAAGTATTGAATGCATGTATGGCCGGTGAAGCAAGCCTTGTGAAACAGCTATCCTACTATTGTATCTTGTGGCCACAACTGCACAATTGGAACAAGATCTTTGCCCTCGCTTGAATTGGGACCTTTGCTGATGCTCCCAATTCACTCTCAAACATTGTTGCTCTATCTCATTTCCAATTGATACCGAAACTTGACCATTTTTCCTGTCAGCAAGCTTATGGGTCACCAGCCTGTTAGAAGAGTGGTTATTCCTCATCAAGGCATATGCATATGGAGACAGCCCATTTGCATCCAGGAGGGAGTTCCAGCAGTGCAACCCAATCTACATTAGAAGACAAAAGAGGGGGGAGGAAAAATAAACGATTTATAAAGAACACAAAATTGGAAAAATTGCTTGAAAGCATGTCATACAGAAGGTACAACTAAGAAAATGCCACTAAGTCACAAGCCAAAATAGTATCACATTGCTGACCCTTTCCCTTTTTTTTAGAAGAAAGGGATCGCAACACCACTGTTTTGAAACTGAGGCCTCATGAAGCCTTTAAAAATTAATACCCGTCATGTAGGGAGATTCACGAAGTTGAGTCAGCTGTCAGAGGCAGCTAAAGGCATCAATGTATAAAATCTAAAGAGGGTACTCAAGAGTATTTGAGTAAAGCAAAATACCTCCTGTGGATCACTTGTCAAAGCGTCAACGATATCATCTGAACTAGATGTACAAGCAGCTAGATGTAGAGGCGTAATACAGCCAGGTCCAACAAGATTTGGTGGGAAAATGTACTTGAAAGTATCATTACCACTAAGTACAGAATAATGAATGAGCAGTTCAACCATGTTCCTACACCTTCTTTTTACTGCTCTGTTCAAGAGGCAAATCTCTGAGAGAATCTCCAATGACTCTCTTGATGGCTCCCCCCTATCTAAATCTCTTTGTAGTAGCATGTCTAGGAGGGTTCTGACCAAAGCACAGAAGTCCCTTTCAACTGTGAATATGAATAGAAATTTGAACCGAGTAAGTGTATAATCAGGAACCTCAATTGTGGAAGAGTTTCTCTTCCTTTGGAATAACCATCCCAGCTCATTTAAGAAATGAAGGACTTCCTCCTTTGATCCGGGCCGTCCAAAATTGCAAATCTGGTTCTCTGAAATTGTATCATGTATTTTTGCAGCTTCATCCAATTCAGACTCAAGGAGTCTCAATTCTTGACAGATGTTAGCATCTGCTATTATTACAGGGAAACTGGTGCCTTTGAAACCATTCTCGACCTGTTGATACCATTAACAGATTTTACAATTTCAGACTTACTCAAATTTTCTAAACTTTCACACTCAATGTAAAATGGATCGGTTGCATTCAAAGCGCTACCTCGATGAAACAGCGACCTAGCACAGCAGGACTCACCCCATTAATTTTAAAACGGACCAAGCTTCTCTCATCATATATGGTTTCCTGACAGGCTGATCCCGGCACTTCCTTTGATAAGTAACCATGTGTGCAGTGAATCCTGCACAACAATATAATTTAAATTCTGAAAAGAAAGAGCATAAATGAAAATGGAACAACTATTCTTGCAAAAGAATGCAGTCTACATACTTGGTGCCAGGAATATTCAGATTTCGACCCCTCAAAAAAAGAGAGGTTTCTTGCCCACCCACAACTGCCAAAGGGGACACTGATATTAATTCTGGAGGACGCCATGCTGTCCAGGATTTGCAGAGGCGAATCTTTCCTGAAGATTGATAACACAGATCAAGCAAGTTGTAACAACGAGGTAATGATAAATAGCAGTTTCTACTGCAAGAATGACAAACTTGAGCAAAACCATATTTTTCTTACTTTTGGCTTATCTGGATTGTATAATGTAGTGCCTAAATAACCTACAGAAAACCTTTGATGCATATTTTATCACTACTCACCATCTTTATGACATGCTAACTGCCTGCCAGTATGAACTAAAAACCTTCCATTTCTCCAAAAGTCAGTAGCAGAATCCCAAACCAAAGAATTGACATGCTGAAGAAGGTTTCCTTCAAGCTGAAAACCACCCACCCAGCCAATCGTCAGCACAAAATCCACACAAGAAAACAAAGTTAATGTTACAACAGTTCACTCACTTGCTCCCAAGAAGAAGACGACATTGATATGTAAATGGATAGAACCACACAACCAGGCCTAATGTAACTCTCCATTTCTGATGGACTGTGAGACAGCCAATTGTAAACCTAAAAAGAGAGGCAGCAAGAATTATAGGTGTTTATATCAATCAGAATGAGAACATTAAAAAGTTTCAGACAGCCAAGAACTCTAACCTGTGTTCGCAGTGTTCCTGGTAACTGACTGGGATCCTTGCCAAATAGTTTGAAAATTATTCTTCCAGTGCGATCCTAAAGACATATCATACATTCATTTCAAACCCATGACAGAGAAACAAAATAAAGCTAACCAAAGTATAAAAATGGAAAACCAAAGAATCAGACAACTCGAAAGGTACAAGTACTAACTACCTGAGCTTCAGAATTCAAACTAGAAGGTGAATGATCAGACCCAGATGAGGACGTGTACCCTGCTTGGTATGGCAAGGTTTGAAATGAACCACTATCAGCACCTCTGTTCGACCCTCCAAAAAGCTCAAGAGATGTAACACAACCATGAGCTGCACTAATTTCAACATTTTCCTTAACTTCTTGAATGGCTGAGATCCTTTCCAGCTCAGTTTCTCTTGTGGTCTGCCTTGGAAACAGTTTTTGCACAACAGATGGAGAAGATGAAGGTGATGTCTCCTCCATGGGATTACTGCTGCCAGAAGAGAAGTATTTTCTTGCAGATGTCAGTTTTGGCAGGCTATCACCTTCAGGTGAGGAACTAAAGAGCTGTAAAGGTAAGTTTGCTCTAATTTCTTGAACTTGACAATCTGAATCTTCAACAGGGTACTGGTAACTTGTATTACTACTCTCCCCTCCAACTGAAGGAAACTCAAAAGCTGTTCCCCTTTGCATATAAAGACTTAATGCTTGCTCCAGACAGGCCAGTTTAGTTTTATCTGCTTCAACACCCTGGCTGCTTCTTTGAGATAGAATTGCAAGTGCATCAGGAGTAGATGCTGCCAGAGTGGCTGACAAAACAGCAAGCAAGTCCTTGGTTGATGCAGAAGACATGTTTCTGTTCAATTTGTTCTGATAATCTGAAAATGATTGTTCAGGAACAGTGCTAGTTAAACTTTCTGACACTGGTAACTTTGTTTCAAAGTCCACCGGCAAAGGTAACAAATTCATCTTACTAAGAATCTGAATGAGCTGGTCTTTGTTAGGTACCGAAGAGCAATTAGGGCTGTTGACCTCTTCATTCCCTGGGTTCAAAATATATGTACTTTAATAGTAAGAGAAGGAGAGAGATGGAGAGAGATGAAAATCAATCCAGCTTTCCAACTCTTTTACCTTGTGCACGAGCTAAAACTGTTAGCAAATTAACAATATCCAAATCTCCATTGCCAGCGTTATCATGGCTTCCAGGTAGTAACATCCGCGAGGAAACATCCTCTGTCTGAGTTTTCCTCCTTCGCCGGCTGTGCCCAGCAAGTCTATGCCCACAACTTCGCTTTCCCTCATCAAACTCAGAAAGATGATGAAACCTAACAAAAGCCAATGAAGCATTTCATGCTGGTTCGAACAGGACAAAGCAAAATAACACATCATTTTGAAGATATAATAATAAGTGGTACTGGCAGTTATAGAAGTAGTATGAGAAAGGGGAGGGCAAACTTCTAATTCTAACAAACACATTTCAATTCATCTAAACAAACTAAACTACACTTTGAAGTAGAAGTCTAGAACAAAGAAAGAAGCATCCAAGAACACAAACCAACAATCAATTAGAATATGATATCAACTTTAAATTGAGGAAGATTGAATAACTTAGATTGTCAACCTGCTGCACTGCTGACAGAACCTTTGTATCTGTTTTCCCACTAAGGCTGTACTTGATTTGCTGTGAATCTCACAAACTTTATGTCGCCGGTGATAGTCTTTAGCCTTTGAAAGATCTTCCCTGCAGTTATCAACCTGACACACGGGATAGCTGCCGTTGCCGCTGCCACCGCCACCAGGAGATCCAGATCGGACTCTTTTATTGGGCCTTGACACGCACTCCTGCAATGAATTCGAGCTGCCGCCTAGCTGCAACTGAAGGATTTCATTGTCTTGGTCCACAGGGTTTTTCTCCAGTAGTGTAGAAATCCCGCTACTTTCCCTGCCAATTTTATGTTGCTCAGACTGGATCAATTGTGAAGTACCAAGATGCAATACATCTGATTCCAAAGGTTTGGCAGCGAATCTCACACAGTCCCAATCCCAGTCCTTGGGTTTCCAGATGTTACCAGGGATTTGAAACCCAGAAGCCAACTGTTGCTGCACCTGAAAAGATAAATTACGCTTCTTTGCCATGGGATTGGGATGTCCCTCACAGAATTGAGCAGGCAGAGGTTGGTGGATAAATATTGACGGGGAGATTTGTGCACCTACCTCTTCCATCCACAAAGGCTATATGTCTGGGATAAAAAATAAATTAGAACTTGGCATCATCTGGATTCTGATCAATATTATAGAATTTGCTATATATATAAGGTAAATATAATTTGTTCAAAAGCTAATGGAGAAGTACCAATAAGACACAGAGATAATAATAACAATAAATAATAGAAAGAATTAGTGAAAATATATCAAGAAGACCAAAAAAAACAAGTTGAGCATCTCCAATCTTATCATAATATTCAAATTTGATGAAAAAATGGCATAAAGTGTGCTCCAACAATTTCATCAAATCTGTATCAAGTAAAGAGATAGGCAATTTTTTCATCAAATCAAGGATGACTCCACTGAATTTCCGACGTTCATATTTTTACTCAGATTTGATGAAATTTTAAGAAGAGTAATGATGGGAGATGGTTTTCTTTCATTTAAAATGGTTAAAATAGAATTTTAGGTTCGGAATTTTTAGAAAATATTAGAGAGAGAGAGAGAGAGAGGATTAGAGTTAGTTGTAACATACGAACACTAGCCTAGCCTAGCCTAGCCTCTTAAGATTGTGAAGGTGGTTTCGGGGAAAGGAGATGAGAGATGCAGCATACAGATACATACATATATACATAGAAGAAGCAAAAATGTCTGAATGATTTATTTGAAATGAAAACGATTCCAAACGAACCAAAACAAATGTTTGAACTTCCGAAACGCAACAAACATATATATACACAATGGGAACGAATACTCACTACTGAATAATGGAATAACTTTGTTCAAGTACCTTCGACTTCACGGGTTTATATATTCCATCAACAACAACAACAACAACGCCTACTTTCTTTGCCCAAATTTTGTTCACAAGGAAAGAATCAAAGGCTACTGTTTCTTCTTCTTCTTCTTCTTCTTCTTCTTCTTTTCTGCTGAGACCTCTCAGTGCTGCTGAGCTGACACCCAACCCATGAACAGGAACAGGACATCACACGCTCTGTTTGCTTGGAAGATCTGGGAACAGATTTGAAATGGAAAAATAAAAATAAAAATGTGTTAAATTAAGTGGTATGTAAGTGTATTTCATTTAAATTTTGTTTATTTTTATTTTTTAGTTTTTAGATAAATTATAAATGTATTTTTGGAGATTTGTTTAAAATATAAACGAACAAATACTACTTGCTACTGTTTTTTTTTTTCATTCAACTTTAGGTTTGGCAAAAACCAACCAGTAAATCCCAATTTGGGGTTTAAAAAGTGGGTTGGTAGGGGAACCAAATGGCTAGTATTTGTAAGCAACTCTAACAAAGCTCTCTATTTTTTACTAATTAAAATATGAAAAAAATATATTTTTTATTTTATTTAATTACTTTTGATAATACAGTTACTACACAACGGGTTCCAGGTGGAATGGGTCGGATTAATCCACGCTTCTTCAACCGATAATTGAGTGTTTAAGCCCACCAGAGGACCTGCACACAAGTTCAACAGGGGAACGGAGAGTCCCCCAGCGAACCTTCTGACGAGCAAGTTAGAGAGAGAGGTGGAATGTGGAGATATGAATTGGAGATAGAAAACTTAACCTTCTTCTTGTCTTCAACGTCTGCTTATATCCTTTGGTAATCATTTCGCCGTCCCTTCCGACCTGCCACCTTGGCCGAAAGTCTATGATGTAGCTTACCTTGTTCAGGGTGAGGGGGTGCTGTTCCGACGGAAAGGTGTTGTCGTAATAAATGCTGTGATGGACTGCATTAATAATGATGAGCAGTGGCAATAACTTTGCAGATCTTTGTCTGCTGATGTGGCTTGTCCTTTACCTGCCACGTGTCTGAATATCATTGGTTCTTCGTGCCATGTTGGCTTCCAGCTGTTCAGGATCTCATCAGTTGGGTTATGTGTTGGGCTCTAAGTGATGGGCTTGGGTTGTTCATAGTGGGCTATGACCTTTGTGGGCCTAACCACGTCAGTAGTCCCCCATTTCCAAGTGCAGCTTTAGCCCAACGAAGGGAATATTAATGGAGAAGATGAGGATGACCGACCGCGAAGTGTGGCTGAGTGGAAGGGCCGACCATGAGGAAGGCCAACCGCGAAGGGTGGCCGAGTAGAAGGGCCGACCATGAGGAGGGCCGACCGCGAAGGGTGGCCGAGTGGGAGGGCCGACCATAAGGAGGACCGACCGCGAAGGGTGGCTGAGTAGGAGGGCCGACCATGAGGAGGACCGACTGCGAAGGGTGGCCGAGTGGAAGGACCAACCATGATGAGGACCGACCGCGAAGGGTGGCCGAGTGGGAAGGCCGACCATGAGGAGGACCGACCGTGAAGGTTGAGGTGGGGGGCGCGGGGCCCAAGAGGCGGCGTGTCACGTGATGACTTGAAGTGGAAAAGACGGGGTAAGGGGGGGTGACAGTGAATCGTGATCGTACACGTGGCAGCATCTCGTGGGGAGGGAGATTAGGCGTTAGGCCAAAAATGAAATGATAGGTCATGATGGGTGTTGAAAAGACAGTTTTGGCGGATGTTTTGAAAATTTTTCAAACTGGCGAAAATTAATTGTGACCCTTGGAATACGGGCAAGCCTTGGGCTTTTGGTATTATTCGATTTACCTACTTCTTTGCAAAAAATCAAAACATTCCAAGTATTAACTCCTTTGTTGCTGACGATACACCTCTGCGACATTTTTTGAATTTCCTTGAGCCCGCATCCGAAGCTATTCGTAAACACACCACAGAGATGGCCCAAGAAGAAGCTAGAATCGCCAGGGTTGATCCACTTGGGAATGACGATGCGGTGGAGTTGGCGGAGCAGTACAGGGTGGAGAGGCAAATAGAGAGAGTAGGGGAGCCGGCGGTACGATCTCATTCTTCCACCATGATGGCGGCCCCAACGCCGATAAGCCAGGCGGAGCCAGATCATTGGCATACAAAGGCTGATAAGTCGATCATTACCGCGAAAGAGCTGGAGAGGATGCGGGAGAAGTACCAGATCCCCGCAGAGATAGAGTTGAAACTGCCGGAATCAAAGGAGAGGGCGTCTGATGCTCGACCGGGGGAGTTCGCCCTATACGAGGAGGCGCTGAAGGGAGGGCTAAGGCTGTCCCTCCCCCGGATAGTGGTGAATGTACTGAACCAGTTGGAGGTAGCCCTAGGCCAGCTAATGCCCAACACGTGGAAGATCTTGCTGGCTTGTGCGAGTGCGTGGCCGAAGGCGAACGAGGGGGCTAAAATGACAGTGGACGAGTTTTTTGCGTGCTACAAGGCGTCAGGGCAGCAAGAGACTTGGGTTACCCTACAGGCAACAGCAGGGAAGGGGTTGGTGGAGGGGCTGTCGTCGTCGATCAAGGGGTGGAGGCCGCGGTGCTTTTATGTGTCCGCCAATGGAGGGGTTGGGGTGCATACAGTTTGGAAAGTGCCTACCAAATCGATAGAGCCAAGACTGGAGACAACAGCGGAGGAGAGGGTGAAGAGGGTGAAGGAATGGCGGGAGAAGGAGGGGGCCAAGTGGGACAAGCTTGTCCAGCCGTCAGCCTTGTATGCGGCAGGGTTGGGTCCTCAACCGAACAGTGGAGACCTTGACCGGGTGGAATTAGAGACGAGAAGGAAGGCACAAGAGGCGAAAGATAGGACCATCCTCGCCCAAGCTAGTAAGTTCAATGAGGCACAGGAAGACTGACCGCATAAGCCGATCACGCGGGAGAGGATCCGACCGCGCCCAAAATCACTGGAGGAAAAAGACTTGGGTGAATCTGAGCCACGACCGCCCCAATTGATCCTTTGAAGCAGAGGGCCAAGGAGATGGGCAGTGTGGGGAAGAAGAAAAGAAAGGTGAGGAGGGGTGAGGGGGAGCCTGCCTTGAAAATGATGAGGGAAGTGATGCCAGAAGAGACCAGCGTGGCCAAGGAGGCAGAGAAGGGGGGAGGCCCCAGGAGGGGTGGTTGCCACAAGAATGGTAGAGGTCGCCTCAGAGGTCGTGGAGGTCGTTCCAGTAGTAGTGGAGATCGCCCAAGAAGTTCAAGTAGAGGGTGGGGCAACTGGCCCTGATCCAAGGATAGAGGAACAGCCCCAGAGGGGTCCTGCGCCCCAAGGAGGGGGGGTCAGGCTGATGACTGCTATCTACCACGCCCGTGCGGTGTCTGGACGGCTAGAGGGAGAAGAAGGCCCAGCCAGGGCAGCTGCAGATCGCCTTGTGGGGATAGTGGATGATGCAACCGTTCGCTCGGTGGCCAGGTTCAATGAGGCTGAGCTACTAAGGGGGTTATGCTCTGCCCAAATGGAGATAACCACCTTAGTTGGGGCTCTGCTGAGAAAGGCGGCGGCTGCAAAGGTCAAGTCGGATGAGGCCAAGGCTCAACTTGCAAACTTCACAAGGGAGAGTGCAGAGTGGAAAAAGGCTGCGCGAAGCGCGTGCTCCAGAGGTTGGCAGGAAGCTGAAAAAGCTAAAAAGATGCAAGTGTTGGCCATTGTTCACTGTAATGTTGCCGACCGAGCCCAAGCTAAGCTGATCGCGGTCAAGTTGGAGCTAGAAGACGAACGCCACCAGGTTGTGTCGCTCGAGTTCTAGCTGGCTGGCGAGCAGAAGAAGCTGGGGGAGGCTCAAAAGGCCTGCGCGGTCTCCATTGAGCGGCATGAAGAGCCTATGACCAGCAATGAAGAACTACACACCCAGCAAATCAAAGAAAATGATAAAGCAAACGTGAAGATTGCTGGGCTGCAGAAGGAGTTGGAAGACGAGCATGCTAAGGCAATGGAGGAGAGGGCGAACCTGCAGAAGGAATTAGAGGAAGAGAGTGTCAAGGCGGCCTCTGAAAAGGTGAGCCTGCAGAAGGAGTTAGAGGAAGAGAGGACCAAGGCAGCCTCTGAAAGGGCAGCATACCCCAATCTGTATGTCGTAGCAATAGAACAATTTAAGGGGTCTGCTGAATTTCAGATGGCGATCGATGCCGTGGTCGCCAGCAGCATGGCGAGGGAGGTGTCTGGGGGGGCGGGCTCGTCGGGAACGACCGCTGGAGGCAGGACTGAGGCGGAAGTTATCGAGAGCTTCCAGTGGTCAGACTTCTATAAGCACGAAATGGCTAATTTCTGGGACAGTGGCTGGAAAATGTTCAAACGTAAAGCTGAAGAGCTGTTCTCAGGCTTAGACCTCAATAGTGTAAAAATTGACGAAGACGATGTGGCCCAGACCCCCTTGGATGAGGGTATCGAAGAAGAAGACCTCGTTTCCAGTGAGGAGGAATGATTTAGAGTGAACAAAATTTGTACAGAGTTGTGTTTGTGTGTTTGTTTTTTTTTTTTTTTTTTTTTTTTTTGGATTGCTATAAAGAACGTATGTACAAGTTTTGTGAATAAATAAAATTTGAGTTGTGTTTTCAGTCCATTATTTTTGCTTGTGCATCTGAAATGTATAAATTATTGTGAAGTGTAAACTGTAAGAAAAACTCAATGTAAAGTGAATTTTAACTTGTAAGAAAAATTCAACGCAGAGTGAGAGTGAAAAACCTCAATGCAGAGTGAATTTTAACTTGCAAGAAAAATTCAACGCAGAGTGAGAGTGAGAAAACTCAATACAGAGTGAATTTTAACTTGTAAGAAAAAATTCAATGCAGAGTGAAAGTGAGAAAACTCAATGCATAGTGAATTTTAACTTGTAAGAAAAAATTCAATACAGAGTAAAAGTGAGAAAACTCAATCCAGTGTGAATTTTAACTTGTAAGAAAAATTCAATGCTGAGTGAAAGTGAGAAAACATGGCCACTATGCTTATGATCATGAAGTCGTAATGGCGACTTCGGCCTGGCTGGGGCTTTAAGTGACTTAGTCTGGCCGAGCTTTTCATGCTCAGTTTGGCTGAGGCTTTTTGTAACTCAGTCTGGCCGAGCTCTTCATGCTTAGTCTGGCTGAGGCTTTTTATACTCAGTCTGGCTGAGGCTTTTTGTGGCTCGGTCTAGCCGAGCTCTTCATGCTCAGTCTGGCTGAGGCTTTTTGTGGCTCGATCTAGCCGAGCTCTTCATGCTCAGTCTGGCTGGGCTTTTTGTGAC